CATGACAAAAGAACCTTCATACAGGGGATGTTCTCAGCCTGACCAGAGCGGCGAGGGCGGGTGCGAGGGGGTGGCGGGCGCGAGGGCAGCGGCGCCAAGGGCGGCGGCGGGGGGGGGACGGAAAGATGGTGACGGCGGTGAGAAGGGGGGGGGGGGAGGGGGGGAGGGGGAGGGGGGCGGGGGGGGGAGGGTGGTGCGGGGTCCGCGTGTGTATCTCGACGTCTCGAGGTTGGGCGCGCGCCGAGAGGTAGGTGTTTTCATGCCGGTCCTTGGTGAGGATGAGGGTCGACTGGCGCCCGTCGGTGTCCACGTCGACGCGCTCGAGGAAGGCCTACCGCGTGGGCGGCGGCGGTAAGGGCGGCGGCGGTAAGGGCGGCGGCGGTAAGGGCGGTAGCAGGAAAGGGCGGCGGCGGTAAGGGGCGGCGGCGGTGAGGGCGGTAGCAGGGAAGGGCGGCGTGCTGCCCGCCGCCGGTGTGTGGCTCTTGCGCCCGCGGCTCTGTGCGGCGTCTGCTGGAGCTCCGTCGGCGGGGCTGGGCGCGCCTTCATGTCCTTTGTCTTGGGCGCTGCAAAGTGCGTGTCCAGGTCCTCTACGACCGTCATCTTTCCGACGGCGGACATGAGGGCGGTGGAGATGGCGAGCCGCTTCTCCTTCTTGTTCATCTTGAGCGCGTACCGCGCCTTGCCCACCCCCCGCGGACCAAACGACACACCGCCGCCGACGAGAAGCGGCGAGCGGGACGAGCCGCGGCGCGCGCGCCCCGTCCCTTTCTGCTGGTAGGGCTTCCGCCCGCCGCCCCGCACCTCCATGCGCGTCTTGGCCTTGGCGGTCCCGAGACGCATGTTGGCCTGCTCCGCCACAACCTTGCGGTGCACCAGATACGCGCCCGCCTGCGGCCAGAGGCGCCACGGCCGTCAGGGGCGCCACGGCCGCGGGCGGCGGGGAGGCGGCGGGAACGCGAAGGCGGCTGCGGAAGCGGGCAACCGCAGCCGTCAGAGCAGGGCGGTGAACATGAGGGGGGCAGGCGGCGCGCCTTGGCCACGCGAAGCTCCACCGCCTCCTCGCCCGCCGCCGCGCCGTCAAACTTGGCGACCGGCACAGCGGCCATCGCCGGAGCGCCGCCGCGAGCAAGCGCGGGAGCACGCGCCGCACCCGCGAGCGCCTCCGCGCCCGCGAAGAGCGCAGCAAGCAGGACTGATCTCATGCGTGAGGGAGAGGGACGAGGCGGAAGGGCAGCGAGAGGCCAGCTCGCCCTCAGCTCCAGCTCGAAAGAAGAATTCTATAAGCTAAGCCCCTCTCACAGCAGACTAGAGAGAGAGAGAGAGAGAGAGAGAGAGAGAGAGAGAGAGAGAGAGAGAGAGAGAGAGAGAGAGAGAGAAGACAGTGCTGCGGCGATGCCTCCGGCTGCTGCGGAGAGTGGCTTGCTGCTCGCTGCGATGGCGAAGAACTCGTCTCGTCACACGCCAAGGGCTTACTTATGCTCTGTCGAGACGTGAGGCGTATGCGCCCAGGAGGGGAGGGCGCATGCGTAACGACGCTGCTAGAGATGCCTTTCGGGGCCCAGAGATAAAACTTCTGATGCCATGCGTGACCTAGTAGTGTCCCCAGCTATGGGCGTGTCCACGTTGGAGCCATGACGCGGGCCCAGTACCACGATGAGGTGACTTGGACCACTAAGAATTGGCTGGGGCTGCAGAAGCAGCGTATCTCAGTCGTTCTTCACACGGCAATCGCAGAGCAGGTTGTGAATGAGCTTGCTTGCCTGTGGCGGGGGTGGGCGGGTGCACGGAGCTAAGTGCCTCGCCACTCTCGCAGCAGTCGCTTAGGCGGCTCCCGTGGTGTACCTGTGTTAGTGCCAGTGCGAGCCAGTCCCGTGCCCAGTGTTGTGCGAGGGAGCTACATTGTAAAACAGTAGGGGGAGGGCTCCCAGGGCTTCGAGGTTTTTCAGCCGTTTTTATCGTGCGCTGCTCACTCACTACGAGGCTGATCCGGGCGTAACGCCAGCACAGCGAGGCGCCCACGTAGCCGTCCGAAGTCGCGTCAGGTTCGCTCGACACGCTAGCGGAGCGGTTGGCGAGGCTAGTGGTGGCCATAGTCTGGTCCCCTAGGGGGTCGATGGGTCGGCCCGCGCCCTCCTTCCCAAGCCGCGCCGGCCGTCGCGCGCGCCGCTTCGGCGTCGGGCCCGAATCCAGAGCTGTGGCTAGGAGGGCGATGCGAGCCGAGCCATCGACCCACCTACCGTCTCGTACACCGCATGCCACGCACTTCTGCACGTCGCGACAGCCGCGTCGTGCAAATCCCACGTGACTTCACCCCATTGCGCGCGGCGCAGATAGCGAAAATGACCAACGCGCCCTCTTCTGCCTCTGACGACGACCGCGCGTGGCGCACCTCGGCTGCTCGCCGACGGTGAAGCAGAACAGCAACTCAGGCCGGTGGTACATCGAGTGCCTCTACCGCAAGTCGAAGACGCACGTCAAGATGTCGCTCAACAGCCTACGCTCCAGAGGTGGGTCGCCCGCTCCACGAACCCTCCCTACGGCGCGGCCCCCTTCGAGCCGCGAAACTTTGGCACGCAGGCCGCAGCGCTGGCGGCAGCTCCACGCTTCATAGAGTGGATCGTTGACGGCTTCGCCAACCTGGGCTCTGGCGGCAGCACCTCCACCCCGATGGACGCTGGACGCGCTGTCCTCTGGCGGTGTGTGTCGTAGGGTACTGCTATAACTGCTTCATGTACTTGCGCGCGTACGCACATGGGGCGCACGACGGATCATTCCGCGCCTGTGGGAGCGCTGGCCGTGCACGGCACATGGGGTCGGTGTGTGTGCGCTCGCGAGAGAGAGATGGGTGTGTGTGTCCTTGACACTCTCGCTCCGGGTGCCTCGAGCGAGAGAGGAGGGGGAGACGCCGCGCTGGGTATTAATCAGAGTGTTAGTCAAATAATCCTCGCACACCACGACTCGCGCATAAACCACGACTCGACCCACAGGGAGAGTGCGTGCGCTGCGACGGACCCAGCCGGCACCGGCAGTGCGGACACAGTGCGAGACTGCGAGTCGTGCGATGACTACCGACGCACAAGCACACCACGCGACGTAGCCACGATTTCACAACTTTGGGGGCAAAATCGGCTCTCTGGCGGCTATTCCTAGCCCACCAACTGCTGGGGGCTGCCCACCACATGCTAGGGGGGGGGGTCCGGCCCCCCCAAGAGGCTTCACCACATGCTAGGGGGGGGGTCCCGGCCCCCCCAGCACCTTCACCACATGCTGGGGGGGGGGGGGGGGGCCTTCAAAAAAAGGCCCCCCCCTCCCCTGAAACGAATTCCCCCGCCTCCCTGCAAAAAAGGCAAAAACCCCCCTCTGAAAAACCCTTTTTAAACCATACCCCCAAAAGGGGGCCCGGCT